TAAATAAATAAAATAATACTTTTATCCAGCAAGGATGCATTAAATTGATCAACAGTGACAATAATGTTTTATAATGTTACTAACACTTTTATAATGTTACACAAAATAAGTGCTGTTCTTTTTAACTTTCTATTCATCAGAATTGATGATGATGATGATGATGATGATAAGACATGTTTCTTGAGCACCAAATCAGCATATTAAAATGACTTCTTAAGGATCATGTGACACTGAAGACTGGAGTAATGTCTACTAAAAATTCAGCTATGCCATACAGGAATAAATTATATTTTAACATATAATCAAATAAAAAAATAGTTATTTTTAATTGTAAAAATATTTCATAATATTTCAGTCTTTACTGTATTTTTGATCAAATAAATGCAGAATTGGTCAGCATAAGAAACTTTTAAAAACATTTTACCAACCCCAAACTTTTGAAAGGAAACATGAAATTATGGCCCGTTTCAAACATGATGTGGGATCATTTTAGTAATTTTCTTTACTCGCCATAACTTAATTCTAAACAAGTGGTTTATACCTTCACTGTACCCCCCAAAAAAAGTGAGTACGGCACTTGGCAGTGGTCAAAATCACTTTTGGATTCATTCCAGCTTTTAAATTCAAAGATTCAAACAGCAATTAAATATGACATGATCAACAACAAACGGTTCTTACATGTTCTCTGAGAAAACTTGAGTAAATGACGTTAAGCCAAATTACCTGCAACATTCAAACAAACATACGGCTTCCTTCTAGATCACAAGATGAAACGGCTGACAGGGACACGTACCAGAAATTCTGGAATCTCTGTTTTGTTTTTCACATGGAAGGTTTATGTTGGTCATGAGGGACGTATATCTACAAAGTAAATCAATGGCTTTTTCCTCCTACGCTTTTTTTTGTAAAAAAAAAAAGCAGCCTGGCAGAACAGAGAGAAAGACTAAAAACTCTCGGAGGAAAACTTTAGCATTAATGGGCCACAAAGGACTCAAACAAGCCACCAAAAAAACCCCCGGTAGCACAAAGGACAATAGTCAGTCCTCACAAGTAACGACTTTCCTGACTCTGGGAAAATCACGGTCTGAACCCACTGAACTATTCACAGGATTCTCTCAAATTTACTGCTTGTCAGAGACACCAAAGACAAAGGACAGAATGCTTTTCTATGCCGCATCTGAGCGTTTTGTTTACTTAGCAATTCACGTCATACTGTGGCGTGTACACAGATCTTTCTCACACCATTTGCATTTGTATTTTATGAGCAGCGAGTTTGTTAGGTAACTCACCTGCAGGTCCTGAGCCAGTTCTCTACTTGATTTGGTTTACGACCTGAGGAGAAAAAAATACAAGTAGCTGTTCCGTGTAATAAACAAATGAATTTCCCTGAAAAGCAACAAGCAGCAAACAGTAAACAACAAATCTAACAGTGACGACTAACACAGAGTGGTTTTCTGAACTACCACTGTGGTCTGCGATTCTTTCGTTTTCCATAAACCTTTATTTGCTCTAAATTGGTTTATCATGACTTGAATGGAGAATCAAATGCCAGCAGTGTTCACTACCGCATTACAGCTTCCAGTACACCTCCCCACAGAGCTTCTAACCCCCAAAATCCCAGTATCGAGTTGAGAATCTCAGATATAAATGATAAAAAATGGCAACTGTATAGTTTTTGCATCTGAAAATAGAAATATCACGCCAAATTTGCATACATTTTTAGGGGTAAATTTATAAGAGTATTTACGGTAATTCTATGTATCGCTGAATCTTTATAGTGCACTAAATGCTGACATTCTTAAAATGCAGACTGTTATCTGTAGGCTTAATTCATGTAAAAGTATAGTAAAAGCAGCTCAGTGACATTTAAAGACAATACAATCCATAATAGGCAAATGATCTGTTAAAATATTAGTTATTGGTATCAGCTTAAAATAAACAGTATAACGACGTGAAAGCAAAGTAGGGCCAAAATATTAAATAGACATTTAAAGTATAATTGTAGTGAATTTCCTGGCAATATATATTGTGAGTTTTAACAGCATATTTGATTTCAACGTCTGTAGCAAAAATGCTGTTACATTTGGTAAGTTAAATTTATTATTGTGAATCAGTTCAAACTGTCTATTTCAATCAACTGATTAAATTATTTGTTTATATCATCCCTTGAAAATACCTGGTATTTTCATTTCAAAAGTGTTTAAGTAAAAATATATGATAATAAAAATATAAATATTGCTGGTTATTATTACTACGCATTGCTATATTTAAGTGCACATACAATTAAAATAACTAAAATCCTTTTAACTTAGAAAAACATGCATTGTATGTATTTTAGCTACATTTCTACTTATCTTAGTTCTTGCAATAAATATTTTGAATCTACATGGCTGCTTGGTTAATTTCTCTAGTATGTAGTATCTGTTAGTACAGAAACAAACAGATTTGAACCGTAACGCCATTAACAGAAGCACTGTACCTGTTTCTGAGGCTGTCGAAGTCTTATCCTCCATAGGCTGGGCAGACAGCGGCTCCTCTGCGCCCTGGTCCTGGGACTCAGAAGCCTGCCAGGAGTCTCGGCTCTGAGCCCAGGCCCTCCTCTTGCTTCTGGCAGGGGGGGACTCGCACTCCTCCATGTCCTTAGCTCGGACAGGATACTACAGTGGGGGACGGTTCACCTGCAAAGAAGCGAAAAGGGACGGACTCAGACCTGAATGACACGACATGAGCCAGAACCCCTCTCTCCGGAGGGATTGATAGCAGGCCCAAAAGAGCACTGTCTTGTGTCATACGAAGCAGATATGTAAGAGTCTGAACGAAGTCACATTAACCAAAACGGTTCACACATTTTATGCTCATTTGAGCACTTTAAGAACAGAACTGCAAGAGTCAACATGTCTTTGATGCATTTATTGCATTAGCTGCACATGAGGTTAAGGGTGAAAACACAATGTGTAACAGACCATGTGTCACACTGTCTGCAATCACACAGACACCCGAAATCAAGAGCCAAAATGACTGTACAGACCAATGTTCCCTAAGAAACGTGCATAGCATACAGTACATGGCCTTGATCCAAAACAGACTATAATAATATATATGTGACCCTGGACCACAAAACCAGTCATAAGGGTCATTTTTTTGAAATTGAGATTTATACATCATCTGAAAGCTGAATAAATAAGCTTGCCACTGATTTATGGTTTGATAGGACAGTATTTGGCCGAGATACAACGATTTGAAAATCTGGAATCTGAGGGTGCAAAAATAAAAATCTAAATATTGAGAAAATCGCCTTTAAAGTTATCCAAATGAAGTTCTTAGCGATGCATATTACTAATCAAAAATTAAATGTACAAAATATCTTCATGGAACATGATCTTTGCTTAATATCCTAATGATTTTTGGCATAAAAGAAAAATCGATAATTTTGACCCATACAATGTATTTTTGGCTATTGCTACAAATATACCCCAGCGACTTATGACTGGTTTTGTGGTCCAGGGTCACATATGTATTATCCTAAATTTGTATGAATTCTTACATTCTTATTTTACATGATAATTAATGTGAATCCGTAATCTAGAGTGAGTGTAATGCATATCACAAAAGCGAAGTGTTAAAGGAAGAGCTCACCCAAAAATGAAAATGTGCTGAAAGTTGTAGATGAGTTTGTTTCTTTAGCGAAACAGATTTGGAGAAATGTAGCATTACATCACTTGCTCATCAACGGATCCTCTGCAGTGAATGGGTGCCGTCAAAGTGAAAGTCCAACAACTGATAAAAACATCACAATAATCCACAAGTATCACACATGGTCCATCAATTAAATAAACAAGAAACAATTCCATCATTAAGGCATTTTAACTTTAATCTGTTACGTCTAGCCAAAATATGAGTCCATAATCTACAATAATACTTCCTCTAGTAAAAACGCCCATCACCTGTTGTCCTCACACATCAAAACCCATGACATATTTCTTTAGAAACGTTTTGGAATTTGGACTGTTTACACTTGTAAATAGTGTTTCATCTGTGCATATCTCTTGCCTGATTAGATGACCTTTTCGCCGGAGAAAGCAATATTATGGAGAGAGGACTTGTATTTTAGTCAGAAGCAACAGTTTGAAGTTAAAAACGTCATAAAGATGTCAGCTGTGTGGATTACTTGTGGATTATTGTGATGTTTTTATCAGCTGTTTGGACTCTCATTCTGACGGCACCCATTCACTGCAGAGGATCCTTTGGTGAGCAAGTGATATAATGCTAAATTTCTCCAACTTTGTCTTGATGAAGAAACAAACTCATCTACATCTTAGATGGCCTGAGGCTGAGCACATTTTCTTTTTTGGGTAAACTATTTCTTAAAAACAGCAATTATCTGTGGCATGTTTTTGTCCAATAATAGATGCTAGACGTGCAGAAATGACACACTGCAGCTTTAACTAGCATAATCATCCTGACACAGTCAGCCTAAATAGTCTAAAGCGAACATTTTTTGCAATAAATTTTATTTCTATATATAACATCACCAAAATGTGGTGATAACCCAAATAACCAAAATAAATAACCTATGTCTGTCCAACAGAAATACATTTTGCTTTGCAAAAACAAAAAAATAGAGGGAACATTGATTTCAGAAATGACTGGAAAATCAAATAAGAGATGAAGGCCATGTGAAGGCAGCAACAACAAATAACCAGCATGAGAAACTAATAACATCTACAGAGATTCCAAGATTCCTGTCCATAAGAAGCAAACCAAAGAAAGAGAGGGAAAAGGAGGGAGAGAGAGAGATGGGGGCGGAGCAGGGGTCTTAACTGGAATAAATGGTAAAAAAGAAAAAGTCAAAAAACAAGTTGAGCAGGAAATGTCTGTTTAGTTGAAAGATTACAAGCTGGTGCGGAGTCATTTCCTGTTTTGGATCTGGCACTTTTTGAAGGAACAGATGAGCTTGACCAAATGGGATGGATTTATAATTCAGCGTTCTGATCTCCCACAATTCACACACTACTATTAATAGCATGCGTCTATTTTCAGACTGATCATCGAAGTGTGACAAATGTAAACCACCAGGAAACACCACCACATTTTATTACCAAAGTCTGGGGATTATAAGGGAACACATCAACATTGGGGAATATAGGCTACCTGCACGAATACACATTCCAAAATCAGAATCTACAACAATGGTTCTCAAAATAAGACCAAACAAGCATTAAAATAAGCTAAAACAACTAAAAAAAAAATCCCACAATCTTGGAAAACAGATATATGAGGCGGCCGAATTTTAAAAGATCTGGAAATGTCATGGAAAGCAATAAAATCGTATAATTTCAGGGGCATTTTTAAAATACATTTTACTACTTATGTCAAGCTCCAAAATATTTATTGGGTAGAAATTGTGAGTAAAAAATTATTTAAAATGTTATTTTGTGATAACTAATGTTTTTTCGTACATTCACCTCTTTATTAATTACATGCATACAAAAAAAAAGAAAAAGAAATGCACATGAAATATTAATGAGTGGATTTTTTTCATTATTTGAGAAATAAAATTAGCAATACAAAAGAAACAAAACCACAGTTATGTCTGGAAATCATCTGACAGGGACAACAGTCAATAAAATTATTTAACAGTCATTCTACAACAGTATTTGATGGAAAAATGCTGCAAAGCAACCAGTCACAATCAAGTATTCCATAGAGGCATGTCCTAATATTGTAGAATTGTCTACTAGGTTTTGATAAATAAGTCTAATAATGCAAACACAGTCTCAGTTTCAGCTGCATATCTGTTCACAGGTTCAAATCCCATCAGAGGCTTGTTATTTTTGGACTCCTTTAACAGAATTGATGTCCAGTCTACTTGGAGAAAGTTAAAAGGAAGCAAACAGTGTACTCTAGAATGTAAACTGCCTAAAAACCACTTCAAACACCCCTTTTCTCATCAAAAACTAATTGTTCACTTGCAACACACGACGATTAATTACATTACCACACAAATAGGCCCTCTCTAACATCATGTTAAGCGTAATTTACGCATCACATCAGCATGTTGATTAGCTATAGCAATCCAGACTGGAACACTGTGTCCACTCACATCTTTAATGTAGTTCAAGGAAAACATTAATTTCTGACTTGAAATATTAATAAATACTCTAAGTATGAGTCCTCCTACTACCAGTTTGATACATGGCTGCTCCAACAAAAAAGAACAAAATATTAACCTAAATAGCATGTTGATAGATTCAATAAACAGACAACAAAAAAGTCTGTCAACAAGCCATGTAACAGCAGTCAAATATGAGAGCAACACGCTCCATTCCCTTTCACAAACAGCATAGTTGTTTAATTCTATAAACACAGGAGAACTCGTGCTCTCCGCTCCATTTTGGACCTGCGATTTGTAAACAGTGCTGACTGAATTACATACTCTGCTTTAAATGGATAGAGACTTCAGGAAGGAGGATGAGGAAAGCAGTGACTTTACACAAATAAGCGCTACTAAGCAACGTCAAGCATGCCGCTCATCCACCAATCACAGAACATATGCAGAATGCTAACTAGGGGAAACCTTTGCAGTAAACCCCACACACAGCAAACTGTAAACACAATGTCCCAATATTCCCAGCAAACCTTGCATTATATATTATATATAGTTATATAGAATGCATTCATTCGGCTGTGATACAAAATTCCAAAAAAGTTGCATAAATGAAATAATGCTTAATCAAATGTCATAACTGGGCCTTCCGCTGAAAATGACCTTCTCTGTGGTGAAGAATGCAGGACGTATGCAATCATTTAGTCTGCTTATCAGACTCCATGTTTTAACACTTAAGTAAAAGAACCAAACTTACACCCCTGAAAAATGTAGTATGTACAGTATGTGTGTATACTTCATATGTCTTAAGCTATATACTTCATCTGTCTTAAGATATATATATATATATATATATATATATATATATATAGCTTATGCATGCATGTATACATTTTGGTCCATATTAGTAGGGGCCATGTCTCAGTCCACTTTTTACTATGGATTTGTAGAACCCCAAGAACTGTAATTTAACATATTAAATATATTAATAATAATAATAATAAATAATAAGACGATATGTGTATATACTGTATAGTGAACAGACTTTAAACTGAGAAAAAAACAGAAAACCCCCTGATCCTGTGCCATTAAACCAGACTAACCACTTCAAACATTGTAAACCAATAGAGTCTGTGATGAATAGCTGGCTGTCAGAGCTTTGAGGAAAATCAGTGAGCCCCTCAATTCCACTGAATAAACACTCTGTCGCTATCATCCTTCTCAAACCTGTCAACAAAAGCTTGTTTGGCTGAAAACGCCTTGAGAAACGATTACTATTTTTAAAACGCATGCTCTCGCTATGACCTCTTTCTGTTGAAGTGAAGACGTCCCAGTTCCCACATCTCATTCCAGATTTGACCGGTTGCTCGTTGTGTCTGTCCCCACGTCCCAAGGCCCCAAACAAAAACAGGACAGGGGCTCCAAGACAAACACGGCACAAACAACAGAACATCAAAGCCCATCCTAAGAAACATCCCACAGTTAATGCATCATGCTTACACAGAGACCTAGTGATTTAAGACTATATCCGGTCCAAACAGGCAGATTCTCAGAAGAACTAGGCAATTTATT